AAAAAAGTAGAGAAGGAAATGATGAAGGCGGCAGGTCAGCGGGCTGAAACGACGTAAGGCTAGATCTGATAGCCCAAAAAATATTTTGTGGACCTAATTTTGTTATATTTCCTTATATATTTGTGATATCTTTTATTAAAAGAAGTGTAATTTAGTCACTTTGTACATAAAAAGGGGTATTTTTAAAAATGGACAGCCAAATGGGGCATTTTTGAAAAGGGGCATTTTTGTGAGTCTCCCTTAAATTTATTATTATTTGAGTTTATTTCATCATAAATATAAAGAGTTGTTAATACCTAATATTGTATTTTAGAAATTGTGAAATTATTTTAAATTTTGTGAAAATATTATAACAAAACTGAATCTTAAAATATTTGTATTTAATTTTCTTACAAAATTTTAAATTTAATTTTAAAGTTCTCCATTGATAAATCTTTTAAATGATAGTGTTTTTAATTTTGAATTAAAATGATATTATTTTTCTTTTTATTTTTGATATAGAATAGTCTATTAAAATTTGTTTTATTTTTGAATTAAAATCTTAGTTGGATATCAAATCTTAGTTTTTCAATTCCTATTGGTTAACAATTTTTTAAAAATTAATTTCAAATTTTTGTTTATAATTAATAAGAGAGAGAAAATTAGTTTATTTTTTTGGAAATTAATAATTATTTAAAAGAATTAAAATATTTTTTATTTAAATATATTAATTTTGTGATTACTATTGTACTTTTAATGAAATTATTTAAAAACATTAAAAACCAAGAGAAATTGTTAAAAATGCCCTTTTTTCAATACCCCTTTTCAAAAATGCCCCCTTTGAGAGTCCATTTTTAAGTTTGCCCTCTTTTAGTTTTTAATGACCATTTTACCCTTATTTAAAACAAAATTATGTCCACAAAATACAAAATATTTTTTGGCGGGAAAAGTGATCCCGCAATTTTCCCGCCAAAACACTTGTAAAAACCTTTAAAAAACCTTGTAAAATTTTCCCGTAAAAATTTTTCCCGCCAAAAAATTTTCCCGCCAAAAAATTTTTTTTGCGGGAAAAGTGATTCCGCAATTTTTTTTGCGAAATTTTTTTGGCGGGAAAATTTTTGGCGGGAAAAATTTACAAGGTATTTTAAAGGTTTTTTACAAGGTATTTACAAGTGTTTTGTAAGGTTTTACAATGTATTTTAAAAGGTTTTACAATGTACTTTTAAGGTTTTATAAGGTATTTATAACTTGTAAAACCTTATAAAAAACTTGTAAAACCTTATAACTTGTAAAAACCTTATAAAATAGCTTGTAAAATCTTATAATATCTTATAAATACCTTGTAAATACGTTGTAAAACCTTTTAAAATACATTGTAAAACCTTATAAATACCTTGTAAAAAACCTTTAAAATACCTTGTAAATTTTTGGCGGGAAAAATTTTCCCGCCAAAAATTTAACGCCAAAAAAATTGCGGAATCACTTTTCCCGCAAAAAAAATTTTTTGGCGGAAAAATTTTTTGGCGGGAAAAAATTTTACGGGAAAATTTTACAAGGTATTTTAAAGGTTTTACAAATTTTTACAAGTGTTTTGGCGGGAAAAATTGGGGGATCACTTTTCCCGCCAAAAAATATTTTGTATTTTGTGGACCTAATTTTGTTATATTTCCTTATATATTTATGATATCTTTTATTAAAAGAAGGGTAATTTAGTCATTTTGTACATAAAAGGGGTATTTTTAAAAATGGACATCCAAAAGGGGCATTTTTGAAAAGGGGTATTAAAAAAGGGGCATTTTTGTGAGTCTCCCAAAAACCAATGGCATTTTTTGTAATTCTTTATCCTTTATAAGGTTATTTATTATCCAATGCTTCCCAATTAATAATATAGATATGTGGAACTACCTAGGGGCTTGATTAAGGAACTTACTGGGCCAGAACTTTTGATTCAGCCCGTCTGCAGTCCAAATCCATATCTATACTCTCGTGAAGGAAGTTGACAGGTTGGGAAAATTCATTTCAAACCCTAAAGCTTGAGCCATGAACGACGATGAAGAGCCACCACTGAAGAAGAATAAACTGCCAATAGAACCAACCTTGAATCTTTCACTTCCAGAAGATTTGATAGTGAGTATCTTAGCCCGTGTCTCAAGATTTTCTTATCGAAATCTCTCCTTAGTCTGCAAGCGCTTCCACTGGCTCCTTACTTCAGGGGAGCTTCACCGGATCCGGTCACTATCAGGTTGTACCGAGAATTGTCTCTATGTGTGCTTACGTTTCTCTCATAATGACCATATCCCTCGCTGGTTCATGCTTCGTCGGAGACCTAATGAAACCCTAACCAATGACACTAGGAAGAAGAAGAAGAAGAATAAGTCAAGTGGGTATGTTTTGGAAACAATCCCATTTCCCCATCCTCCTCCTTCCCACGGTTGGGGTCTCGTGGCGGTTGGTTCTAATATCTACAACATTGGCGGATCCATCTACGGTTGTCGCTCAAATAGTGTCTCAATCCTAGACTGCTGGTCTAACACGTGGCTCAAAGCTCCAAGCATGCAGGTAGATCGGTGTCGCCCATCAGCCAATTTCCTTGATGGAAAGATATACGTAACAGGAGGCCATGCCAGTTACAAAAATGCATCACACTATATGGAGGTTTTCGATCTGAAAACCAAAACTTGGGAGCCTGTGTTGAGCAGTTCAGGCAGAATGACGTTATATAAAACTAAGAACGTAGTTGTTGATGGAAATCTATACGTTGTTGGGAATAAGGGTGTTGTTTACAACCCCAAGGATGATACATGGGATAGTTTAGGACCGGAGATGAATTTAGGTTCGAAATGGTTTTCTTCTTGTGTGATAGAGAACGTGCTTTACTATTATTATTACGAAGAAGGTATCAAATGGTATGACACTAAGGCAAGATCCTGGAGAAGTTTGTTAAATGGTATGAGAAAACTGCCTAAGTTTGCTCGTCATGCCAATGTTAGGTTGGCGGATTATGGTGGGAAAATGGCACTTTTTTGGGACAAGTTTGTGGCTTCTGGTGGTGGTCGTGGCTATGAGAATAGGATGATTTGGTGTGCGATGATTGCACTTGAAAGAAGTTATAGAGGAGAGATTTGGGGGAAGGTGGAGTGGTTTGATGCAGTGCTTCCAAATCCAATTCCTAAGGAATATGATTTTGAGTATGTCGGTTGTGTCAACGTTTGATGAATGGCATATATAAGAGACACATTTGAATGTGATGAATCTTTAGTGTGATTCATGTGGGTCTTCAGGGCCGGCGCAGACGGCAAGCCACCGAAGCCACCGATTAGGGCCTCAAAATTTGAGGGCCTTTTTACCTAAAAATTTGTTAAGTTTTCTTATATACAATAATTTTTGTAGGGCCTTTTAAAAATATTGTTGGCTTTTAGAGACAACTACAACATTTTTTTTAATGGTAAAAATCTAATTTAAAAGAATTTTTTTTTTTATGGCTTTAATTTTGCTTAGGGCACCCAAATTTACCGGGCCGGCACTGTGGGTCTTATATCATTTTGTTAGATGATTTTCTATCATGTTTTTAGTTTAATACAAAGACGTCATTTCATTTGTAATGCTTTGATGGTTGCTTTTTTTTTTTTTTGGAGTGCTAAAGGCTGTCATGATTCAATCACATGTTGTGATTATGATACAGCAAATTTATTGTTAATTTCATGATCGAAGTAAAGAGTGCATGTAATTTGTAAATTGTGTCATCGTCCTTTAAATAGATAAATCATGTACAAAAATAACTCCTCTGTAACCAAAATAGTCTAAACCACAAGAACCCAGTCTAAATGTCTAAATGTTTCAATTAACAAGTAAACTGAAGCCTAAATGTCTCTCTCCATGTTTCGCATCACAGTTGCTTGGCACGAATGCAACCATTTCGTTCATCAATAAACTAAAACTTCGTTCATGTTTCTCTAAAATCTTAATGCATCTTTAGGGGCGGCAAAAAAAAATTAGAGCTCAGTACAAGGCTTATATCACATCCGAGCGTTCAGATGAGTGCAATGGACCCAACCATAGCTGAAACCTTAATCCTCACATCTCAAAGCACGGGAATCGAACCCGGGTCTGTACCGTGGCAAGGTACTATTCTACCACTAGACCACTGGTACTACTTGTTTTAAAATTTATTTTTTGTTTATATATACAAAGTGAAAAAGCTCCAACCATGTCGTGACTACCGACGGAATTGTTATATACATGTAAATTATGAAACGAAACATATCTCAAGAACCATGCCGTTGATCTGTTCCTGGGCGAAGACATTGGAAGACGAGGATCCATCATCATCATTCTGAGAATGCTGGGTGAGGCATTATGTTTTCTTTTTCTTCAATGTCTCAATGAGGCCCGCGATGTAATCTTGAATTAAGCCGGTTTTCTTGTTGGTATGCGTATCCTCCATGATATACCTACCATATTCAAATTCAACACACTTGCTTCACTTAATTTTTATCTGAGTCTTCTTTAAGCAAACTAGTCTTAATCTTCTTTTAGCAATTTTCAGAGTGTTTAGTTTAGTTTTGTTTTTGCCTTGAAAGCAAAAATGTTCCATGATCAAACAAACAAGGAACAACAATTTTTTTTTTTTTTTTGGTGGGAATACAACGATTTATTTTAGTTTAGCTCATTCTTATCTTTGTTTTTTTGGTCAACAATATAGTAAGCTAATTCAAAAGACTTAAAAAAAGGTGATTGTGGTGTCAATTAGCATTATCTTTTGTAAATTTGAATCATAATTTGCAAATTCAACTCTCTTAAATTTCCAATAATAAAAATGATATAAATCCAAAAATATCTACCGACGTAAATGTATTGAAACAAAACAAAAGAAACTATAAAACAAAAACATCAGGTCCAGCACCAATCTCTTCCACAGAAACTCCAAAGGCACTGACTTCATTACATGCCTCTCCAAAAAATCCATTAAAAAAGGAAAAATAATCCAATTCCTATATAGAAATGGGTGTGTAAAAAAAAAAAAAAAAACTTGCGTAGATGGTGATTTAAAGGAATGCATTATAGTTCATAGAAACTATACTAATTAGAATGACTAAATCAATTAATATGATAGTGAATCATAAAACTCTAATCCAAACACACACAAGGTTTAGTCGGTAACATATTTCTATTTGCACCTTCTTTCTTACAATTTCTGTTTTCAAGAAACATAAACCAAAACAATTTTGGACCATTATGAAACAATCAAACTATATGTTATACAAACAATATACATATACTGCTTCAACAAAGCAATTAGGCACTTCTTGTTTTTGATTTCTGTCTGCCTTAATTACTTTAGAGAAGGAAATAAGCACATTCTAATCTTCTAAACACACCACAACACTTTCACACAAGGGGACAAATTCATAGAGTCCGTATGAAGTAATAATATTATTTTGTTCCTAATCATTTTACATTCCCCTGTAGGTTATAAACATATATCATGATCTGAATGGACTCCATTTCGGGCTGGCTTTCCGATCTGTAAGCAATCAATCGGTGGAACGGTTGCCGAATTGAGCTCTCCAAATGTTTTCCAACAAAATGGATCGTACATGTGGTATTGTAGTTGCACTGGTTTTAGCTCTATGCCTGATAATTGCACGTCTATGCAAGGGAAACTGTCACTGCAAGCAAAATGCACAGGCTTCACGGTGTAAGTTCCGCGTATCTTCTCATATGTGACTCCTTCTACGGACACTGCTGAAGTATGGTTCATGCATTTGCTGTGATCACAGTAGAATTGATCGATCACTATCGGTAGCTGAACCTCTGTGAGTTGAATGTTTGAGAAAAGTATTCCTTTCACTGATCCTATACCTCCCTGTATTCACATTCAAGCTGTTAGTTTTAACGGCTTCCTATTCAAAATCAATTGGCAATGAGTGGATTGGCTCATTCAGTTTTTTTACGAAAGGGTGTATTGTTACCTGCCAAGTCTTGATCCGGACACCGGTCATTGTGTTGTGCATAACTACATCTCGGACTGTTATGTTGGAGACACAGGCTTTGGTACTATCTTTACCAAGGCTACCAATGCTGATTCCATGTCCTGGTCCACAATTCACATTGTGAACATACACATTGGAGCAACCCGTTTGAATCGAAATACAATCGTCTCCTGAAAAAACAGAGGAATCCATCAACAATATTAAGACCCAATTTTTTACGAGTTTTATGATGTTTTTTTCCGATTAAAATTGGTTTGTACCGCAAGCTAGTGTGGTTGTGTGAATCATGACATCTTTGGTGTTCTGCAAATGAATCCCATCTGTGTTTGGACTGTCTCCGGGAGAAGACACATTCACGTCATGAACTAAAACCTGGACGCAGTTATCAAACTTGAGGTGACATTGAGGACTGTTCTGAATGGTTATACCCGTCACAGTCACATCGATACTGCCATAAAACCGCAGCGCCTATACCGTTAAAACCAAGGTAAGCAAAAGAATGTACTGAGTTTAAAAAACATGTAGAGACTACTAATTCATTTCTATTTCTCACCGTTGGTTTAATGCTTGGCATTCTCCAATTAAGCTCACTTCTTATCTGTCATATGACAAAAATACAAAAACAGAGTTTGGTGTTAGATGAAACTTGTGTAGATGTTAAGAATGAGATGATGAAGGAGATTTTTACCGGCATTGGAGGACGTTCTTGGACCGAATTGTTCAACGGGACAATGAGCTTGAAGTCATCGTCGATAGGATAGTCGGAAAGGTAATCTTGTTGCCACCAAACAGTACCTCTTCCATCAATAACACCTTTACCTTGAATTGTAATTCCTTTAAGCTTCGTGAACTCAATCCACCACATTAACCCGCCTCCCCACGATTCAGTATCTGTGGGAGCTACAATCATACCATCCAGCTGCAACCAAAAGAAAAGCTCACATCTTTCAATTCAATGGTACATTTTTTGTTTGGAAATCTTTATAAATAGTTATGATCAATTCTCACTTGGAATACAATGTTTCCTTGACAATAAGGACCCGAGAAGGAAATCGGGCCAACGAGGAAGATGTAGTCCGGCGGTATGATCATCGTTGAGGCCTCGACTTTGCAGGCAGATGCCCACGCTGCTTCAAACGCCTGCAAAATTTGTTAAACTTGTCATTGTTTAGTTTAAGAGTAAACATAATTATGGAGGAAAAGAACAGAGAGTATGGTCCCCTCTTAAATCGGGTAATTTTGTTGTTATTTCTCTCTATACTCGTTTGTTTGTTTTTTTGGGGAATATAAAAAGAGGAAAAAAGAAAAAGTTTTTGACTTTACAGAACAGAGAGAAAACTTTTATGTGCTCTGTTTCTTGTTCTGTCTCGTGTTACCTTCTCAACTGTAATTCACATTATGGTTATTTTTAAAGACAATTCTCACGAAAGCGAGATTAAAATTCTTGATTAGTCAAGAACCACCAGATTGAATTTTGTAATGGATGATAAATCATTTGAGCCTGTACCTCAGTGTCATCACTCATGCCATCACCCTTAGCTCCAAAATCAAGCACATTGAATTCTTGTGAGTCCCCATCAACTGGCTTCAGCGGAAGAGGTGATGGTGGTGGTGGTTGTTGAACTTGTGGTGGCTGTGACACGACAGGTGAACCGTCACTGGATTTTGGCGGCTGAGTTTTCATCTTCGGTTTTGGTTTTGGTTTTGACTTATGGGAATGACTATTGTTGTGGTTGTTCACATGGCTTTTTGGTTTCTTGCTGGACAAGGAATCAGACAAAGAGGAGGAACTGCTATGGTGGTGTCTCCAATGTCTTCCTCTTCTGGCAATGCAAGTCTCTAGAGTTGTAGACCAGACCAGGATTGTCACTAAAATCATCATTGTGATGCTTCTCAGCCTTAGACTCTCTCTCGTTATCATGTCTTTTTGTTGTTGTGTAATAATGTTCTCTTTGTAAATGGTTTGAGACAGAAGCAGAGAGAGTTTGGTTTATTTGTTGTTGTTATAGAATGAATAAAAAGAAAAAGGAATTCTGGGGGTTTATATAAGGAATCGGTCCAAGAATATAGAAGGACTCACGGGAGCCTAAAATGGAATTTCATGTCGTAATTTTTAAAAATATTGTTTTCTCATAAACGTAGAAATTTTGCACTAGATATATATATACGATGGTATTTAGAAAATGACAATGGAAATTCTTTGTCCAAGAAACAAAATGGAATAATCTTGTACGGTTTTACTGATATGTGATTTTTTGTGTAACATGTTATTTTCTATTTTGATATCTAATTAATTTTATCAATTGGACGTTACCCCAATTTTTGCTCATGTTATTTATGCCATTGAATTCTATTGCCCTTATATAACATCGATTATCTTAAAGTGCTATATTATTATTTACCGTATTAACGATAATACAAGTC